ACCTTGAAGTTTCAGGACCCCGCTTTGGGTCCTGACCCCAATTTTGGGAAACATTGTTATAGATGACCCCTTTAAAGAAAGATATGTTGGAACAGAAAATGCAGAAACAGAAAGTGCTTTTTGCTTTTTTGTTCATTCCCAACAAAAATCCATTGTGTAATCAACCAAACCTTTGTGGTTGTATAGGTCTGTGGAATCTTGTAATGAATTATGATTCATTCTTTACAGTAAAAAAAAAGGCTTTAGGTTTTGTCTGCGCAGGAATTCGCAGTGGGAAATGGTGCAGTGCCCCTGTCTGTTTGTTTTGAGTTAGCAGGAGGTCTTTGGTACTCGCACTCAAAAAAAAGGTCTCCAAATATAAGTCTATAAGTGTTTGCCCCTCATAAATCACATACTCCAGAAATTAGTGACAAACTGAAATACGCACCGTGCCACCACGCATTCTCTAGATAAATAGTTCCTTGATTAACTTGACCACAGCGCATTAGAGGCAGAAATGTTGGCCTGAAACACAGAGCAGGCTTGATAGGGAAAAACCAACTCTTCTCTTGGAAGCCTGTCGTGTCACTTCTTGGCACAAAGCGATATGTGATGACTGCTGGTGCTAATGAGTATTCCATTTATCAAACACAAATTGGCAGTCTTGATTATTGGGTTAAGAGAGTGGAATGGCAAGTATTTTAATTAGAAAAGTTTTATTTGAATTTCTTTTTTTTAAATCAAAGATGCAGTCTCATCTTATTCGTGTTGTAACTCGTCATTTGAATCGAATAAACACACGTGTGCTCACTTGCGCGCACGGCTAAAATGAGTGGTGAGATGTGAAGCTGATCTCACAACTTGTGTTTGGGGAACACTGCGGCCACCTGCGCTGTGAAACRCTTCCTGCTGTGTGCGGGACGAAGTGTCGGTGTGTGTGTTTGTGACGCTGCCTGACTCACAGAGCTGGTGGTATTCAGTATGTCATAACTAGTCTGGAATCAGACGGAGGTGGAGAGGTTGGGCTGTTTTGCGGTTCAGCCATGTGCTGATGTCATTCAGCTAACCCTCAGCTTGTTTGCATGTATGTTTGCGTGTGTGTGTGTGTTTTACTATCATCCTGCTTCTGCGGTGGCCTTCCTCACTTGGCTTTGCAAAGGGGGGCCCGTGGTTTGTGTTCTGTGGTTTCCAGCTCATGCTGGGCCCCAGCATTACAGCACCGAGTATACACCGTCACGCATGAAAATGCACACACGGAGGGTTTAGTTACAGTGTGATGCACGGGCTAAACATGTCCAATGTAAGTTAACTCCCCAGGCAAGGAATCAATGTTCATCTCAAGACGCATCACATCRCTCATAAAGCACCTGCAAATGATCAGAATCCCCCCTTTGACACTGGCATTTATTCTGCCTCTGAGCACAATTTGTAAAGGAAAAACCTGAAAGTAGGCTTTTAGGTGACCTTTATTGTTGTGACCAGCAGAGGGCAGGGTAGAGCATTTTCAGAACAGGAGGGAGGCTTTACCCCGTTGCTGGCACATTTCCTAATGTTTTATTTAATTTGAAGATGCAAAAGCTTTTTATTTACCTAATGGTGTTTGCGTGATATTTCATAGTTGCGTGTCAGACGAGGGTTTGAGCTCACAATTTTGGAATGGTAATAGCGTCTTTCCTTAATGCAGGGGTGGAGTGGGGGGCAACTTCCTTTTGCAGACCCTTCCACATTTACCCTCTGTCTCTCAGCTCATGGATAGTGAAGTCCCAGTGATGTTTTCCAGATGCATTGGCTCTGTGAGTGCATTGACAAAAAAAATGGCTACCTCTTCTCCTCAGATTGTTCTCTTTCATTCTCTAGCAGCTCTTTAATGCTCATCTAATYGCCGTCTTGTTAAAAAGGCATTTTCTTGGCCTGGAAAATGTTGATATGGTTTTAAAAAATGTCTCCTTTTGTAGACAAAAAGCTAGTCTTCCCGTATAAAAAAAATAAACGTTTGTCTCTGAAAAGRCTCATTTCTTTTTTCCTACCCTCTTTTCTCTAGAAATGTATATTTTTGTGTGTGGCAAAACAAATTGCCGCCTGCTTGATTAGCAATTAGCCGACGTCCGCTCTCGGTGATTTGTGCCASAATCAGAAAATTTCTACAAGCAGAAGCCCTTCAAACAAATTWGTGACATTGATGGGTCATGCAGCTGTCAGGTCTTATTTGAGCCCATATTCTGGGGTTTAATGCCCTTAGGCTGCAGTATTACCTTATTACTGCTTGTTGGCCTGCTATCACATACAGGATCACCCTGTCATCATGCTAATAGTTTCCTAGATAAGAGCGTCTGTCTGACTTCTTTTCTCTGAGATAGTAAACAGACGTTGGACATTGACGGTTCTTTAACGCTGTCTGCTTTAAGTCAGCGTTGTCACAATATTTATAGCAGATGTTTAACTTTTCTACGACTTTCCAATAAAACGTCTCAACAGACGTCATCCAAGGATATTAAATAAAGGGCTCTCCTGCTGATTTACTTCAGGATCAGTTGGTTTTCTTTTTGCTGCCTTGTTTGACGCTGCTGCTCTGTGTGTTCCTACAGGCGTCCCTGACAAACGAGCGCGACTACGAGAGCGTGGTGATGATGAGGATGAGGCAGGCCGCCGAGCGTCAGAGGCTCATCGAACAAATGCAGCGAGAGGACGACGAAGAGGAAGTTGCCAAGTCATAGCCTCTGAAGGTCCAGCTTGGAGATATCAAGTACATCTGATCCGGGCTTTAGTTTCATAAAGCCTCTTATGTGTTTTAGTTTTTTRTGTAATATGCTGTGCAACAAATAAACCATTTTAACAAAAAGTTAAAATGATTTGATCATTTTATAGTTGAGAATACAGGACGACATGGAAATATAAAGATCAACGACACATTAATCAATGTCAAACAACGATGGAAATTTCATCAGTCATCTATTATTTGGCTAAACGAGACAAGTTACCACTTTATTACTCTAACCAGACAAGTTGTAATGTAAAAATCATTCCTGATGGTCAGATTCTAGAGTTAAAGAAGTGGCGTTCCAGACCGCAGACCCCTGTGCTTGGAAATCATTTTTGCCCCCGTATTAACCCAGCAATCAGGCTGGGACTGAAACACAAGGTAAACTTTTTATGGAATTCCTGTGGCGACGTTTGATGAAAAGTGAACTCTGTCTGGAGGCCCGTCCTTTAAGATCTGGTGGTTTGGATAATTGTTCTCCTTGGCTTTGAGCGCAGTGTTTCCAAATCTCTACYCAAGACCAAGGAAGCCCTGTGACCTGATCGACAGAAATAAATGAGGGCTGTTCAGTGAGCTCGGAGTATTTGTGCTCTCAATATGTCACTTAATATTTGCAAAAAAGAAAATTACTTCTCAAAATAAAGCAGATAATTTGTTCTGAATTCAGAGTTTAAACCTTCCAAACTGCTTTCCAACATAAGTCTGAGTAATGGGAATGTTTTTATTGTATTCTAATATTGTTCATCCACAAGTATCAGTTGGAGCATTTTACTGCAGTAAAATAAAGAGTGCCCTTTTTGCACTTTTTAAAAAACCTTGAAGCAAACCATGTAGTTTTATTCTTGTTCAAGTGGTTCCGAATTTAAACCTTAAAATTTGATTTAAAGGTTGACATTTCAGACAGGTAGGACTTTTTAGAATGATATTGCTAAAGTTTTATGAAAACATAGAAATGCTTATGTATACTAATTTGCAAAGCATTATCTACATAATGAAATTAAAAATAAATATTAGCAAATTAGGCAATTTATCCATTACATTTTTTAAAGGAAATTTGAGTAATTGCACTTGAAAAAATGCAGTAACAAACCAACTGAAAATAGATTTTGTTTTAAATTTATTCAAACTCAAGTTGCAGTTTGACAGGAAGCTGCTGCTGAACTCTTCGCAGGGCTTTGAGACTTTCTGGAGTCTTTATTATCGCTGRCAGATTTTCAGAGAACTAGTAAAAAGTAGTTGTGTCCTAAATAGTAACATCGCTTTTACAAGTCAAATAGACTTTCATAGTCAAACGTGTAGCTACACAGCTATTTGGCTTGTAAAACTGAACACAAACTTTTTTTTTGTCAAAATACTCACTTGACTTTCAGAAAGAAGGATTTGTTTTTTTATTGCAAAACCAAACAAATATTTTTMTAACCAATTTAAAAAGCTTATTTTTTTTTCCCCAGGAGTTTTTAATTCCACAGCGACGTGCATCTTGAAAACAAAGCTCCACCAGGCAGCGCGTGAACTTTTGTTTTTCTATTTTTAGATATTTCAAGACTTACAACTGAGATTACCCAATTTTTGTCTGTTTTCTTCACCTCTGTGTTTCCCTTCCGAGCACTTTTACTCCATCATTGTTCCTGCTGGATCAAGTCCCGGGACACTGRCGCTTCAGTTGAAGAACTTTGAAATATGTGTTCGTTCCTGTGATATTGACCTCAAGAAACTTGGATTTGTTGCTTTCAGTGATTTCATAATGACCTTATGTAAGAAGTATCTGGAAGAYTGTGCAGACTTTCTTTATGTTGTGACGCTACTGTTTCAGTCAGGCCTTCCTGTGTCGGTCTGCTGTAGTTTTATAACGACTCTCTTTTTGTCCTCTGTTTTTCTTATCTTTATAGCGTATTGGTGTGTCTWCGTTTGCCGGCCTGCATGGCTGTGGTTTCTGGTGTTGTTGTGTTATTTAGAAGCCATGTGGAAGCTCCACAACATCCAATCCAGTCGTGTATCCCCCTGCCACTCCCGCGCTGCCTCTCCATGGCTCTGTTACACAATGTCCAGCTGTGGAGCGGTGTGGTGGAGACATCTGCTCCTCTCCTGCAAAATCCCCTCATAACATGGTTTTGTTTATGTGTATCCTTTTTCAATATCCCCACAATGTGAAAAAAAAAGAAAGTTTGTTTGAATTACAACAAAGGAAATACAGTTACAGGAAACGTATTCACCACCAAAGCTGCCCAGAGCACACAGTGGCATGTGCTGCTGCATGCGAACCAGCAGGGGAGGATGAGCCCGTCGGTACATCAGTTGCAAAAGTCAACCGGAGTCACCGCCGGATCAGATGTCGCGTTGGAACAGTCATGTTTGCATATGCAAACAATATGTCTGTGGTGGAACAAGGGACCAGTTCCTTGAAATCTAGCGTGGAGGTGGAAGCGACGTCATGTGTGAGGCAACAGGTCTGGTTAGAGTTTGGCTGTGAGTTGGCTGGCAGCAGTTCTGGACTGTGGGTTAGGGATCCGGGCTGGCCCCAGACATGAGCTGGAGGCCCCTCTGGGGCAGAACAAAAGCCACCCAGCGTTTTTTTTTTTTTTTTTGGCTCAGAATGCAGACTCCTGATGAGAGGTAAACCAGCTGATCAGTTGGGTAATTAATTAGGCTGACATTTGACATCTTAGAAAATAATCGCTACCGGCCACGTCTGAGTGTACCATAAGCCAGTTAAAAGGCAGGCACGTCTACAGGCAGCAAAATGTTACAAGTGTCTCCATACCGTCGTGTCAATGTGCTTCCTGTAACACTGGGATGCATTTGCATGGGATGATGTTTTGTTTTTGGAAACATAGCTAGTTAAAACATTTTTTTTTTCAATCTTAGTATTTTAGTCAAGACCACCTAACCCAAGACCAAGTCAAGACCAAAGTGTATCGAAACAGAAACAAGACAAAGGTATTGTCCAAAATGGTGGGCCGGGTCCTCCGAAAGCCGAATTCGTCGGTCGCTTAYGTCACAGCACCGCGACAGAGGCTGTCCAAAACCAAAGAGTCCTCCGATGCGGCCAACAAATGCGTCCTTCCTTTGGCCCAAACTGAAGGACTGGTCTGATCGATCCTTCGCAACCCATCATATCCCATAATGCATTGCAGCCCAACTAGAGATCATGATGGACGAAGCGAGAGAAAATAATACATTTTCAAAAAAAAACAAAAAAAAACATGACAGTGCAAAAATTAAAAATTTCAAGCGGTTGTATTATTAATACTTTYATCATTATTATAGACATGTTTTTAAATATTATTTTTGTCAGAAAAAAAACGAACTTATATAGAGAAATAAACATGCACCTACGGTGGGTCCATTGGTTCTTCAGATATTACCTTTAAGTTAATTTTATTGTTTTGTGATATTAATAACGCTAATATATTGATATTTTTCTACTTTCTATCTAATTTTGCTTCCATTTAGCATCGTCACGGTTGTTAGGTGACATGACATACGCCAGGGTAAGGACGGGAGGCTAGACCGTCCAAATTCACAGCCACTTTTTTTTTTAGTCTTTGCAGTCTAACAAGGACCCAGCCCATCTCGACCGGGTAGGCTGGGTCCTTCGGAGGATCCAGCCTCTTGTTTTGGACACAGCCAAAGACTTTTAGGAGGGGGACCAAGTTGAGACTAAGACAAGAAAAATTTAAAACTAGTCATTCTGTATACCATACACAGGTAGCTAACTTAATACGCATAGCTATTGACTAAATCTGTTTGTATGAGGGCCAGGTAAAGAACTTTGCTACAGAGGCAGATTGCTAATGTTAGCTAGCTAGCTTTTCAAAACATCACTTAAACATGCACAGCCTGACCAAAAAAAAAAAAAAAAAGAAAAAAGTCACCACCAAAATAAAAGGTCACACACTCAACATTTTTTTGAACTGCCTTTAGCTTTGATTACGGCACGCAGTTGTTGTAGCATTGTTTTGATAAGCTTCTGCAATGGYACAAGATTTATTTTCATCCAGTGTTGCATTATTTTCTCACCAAGATCTTTCACAGTTCCAGCCTGATGAATCCTGGCATTGTCATCTTGGAATATGCCCTTCATCRGAGAAGAAACAATACATTGATGGAATRACCTGGTCATTCAATATATAGTCAAMTGACCTCATTCTTTGWGCACAGACTGTTGCTGAACCTAGRCCTGACCACCTGCAGTAAMCCCAGATCAGATCATAGACCTCAGTTAAATCCAGAAGGGCACTTTTTTTTKGSCSGG